CTACTCTGAATAATTAAATTCTACTTAAGTAGGCATTTACTGTAAAAGTACATTAACGTTTTTTTAAGGACATTAAACAAAACAAAAAGTCTATTTAGGCACTTAAACAATAACTAACAAATGTATGTCAATCAAATATTTACGATGTATCTTTATATATACTATTTGGCCTAGTTCTTACTAGATGAATACTATGGAGTACCACCTCAGGTTTACGAATGAGAAAATGAAAGCCCTGAGTTTTAAGTACTTAGTCCTAATATCACCCATCTAGTAAGTAAAGGGAATGGACTCTAATCTCAGGTCATATATTCTAAGAAAGTAACCTTTCTACTTCATCCTTCAAGTGATTCCTGTGTTGGTACATAGGTTTCCCATTGATTGTTCTTAAATCAAAGTGGGAATAAGTATTTTACATTTAATTTACAAGGGGGTTTTGAATTAGTTTTATTCTGGGAAAGAAAATTTCTGAAAAAAAATAATTCCCCTGTTTTATTATGAGTTTCAGTGGCTTTTAGAGCTCATAAGGGCTTCAGTTATTATTCATTGTATTGCCTTATGTTTTCAGAACTTTTTCATTCACTCAATCAATCTATGTTTACCGGAACATATGTGGTTAATGCTGAGGGAAACAGAAACCCAAAAGAGTTAAGCAACTTACAAAGGAACAGCTAGTTAGAAGCGATATAGTCACCGGAGAGGCAGTTATAAAGTATAAAGTAAAGGCATTTGGGATAAGAAGCACAATGACTTTTAGCAGACCTTGCAACAAGGTATCTGAGCCCCAGTCTCCAGTCTATGACATGACCAACAGAAGCCCTAAAACATGAGGATAATCGACAATTAAAATGAGATAACATAAGTCGATGAGCTCTATTATGGTTAAGCTCCTTATAATTATTTTGAAGGAAAAGAGAAAGGAAACTTGACCATATGCTTTTGAGAGTTTCAATAAGCTTAAGTCATATATTATATAAAATATATTAAACACCAACTATGCAGCATGGAAATCGAGTGGAGTAAAATTCAAAGTGTCCCATGTTGTGTACACATGTAATAATTACTTTAAAGTTACAATATACTACTTGTTCTACAGGGTGGGAAAGGTTTGCAATTGGGGGAGTCATTGTTCTTTCGATAGCTACTGTTTCTTTAAATTGGGTGAAAGAATTGGACAGTTGCTGAGTCAGATGCTCTGCGAGCCGGGGCCAAGCAGAGCAAGAAAATGGTGGCATTCAAAAAAAAAAAAAAGAAAGAAACCAAAATGTAAGCTTTTAACCTTAGCACATCAGCAAAGCAATCGATGCAACATTAAACAAATTTCTATTTAAAAGCAGAATAATGATGAATATAATTTGGAGGGCATAACATTTTAGTTCTTGCAAAGTTGCTTTCTAGCTTCCATTAGCCATATACATTTCCCCTCTGATCAGTGTGTTTTTACAGAGACCCAAGGACCCATCATTTTGTCCATAATCGCTTTATTCTATTCTCGCTACATTTTGCTACAGTGTTGGCTTGGTCTCAGATATAATTTAAACCTGTGAGACACTCCTGCGCTTTGTTTTCCCTCGCTTTCATAATTTTAGGTTGTCAGGTTAGCCAGCATGACTCCTGGTTTGGATAAGAAAGTGAAATGAAAGAAACCACGATTACTCTATCCAGAAAGCACCATTCATTCTGTGCAAACAGGGGGTAAGTGTATACAGTGTTTCAGAAAGACTCGATCCCATGGATGTCTCATGTGGAGATTTTCTGTCTCGTGCTACAAGCTTTAACACGCAAGTATATTCTGTTAACACCGTCTGCCCCCCCGAGATATGTTCTGATCATGAAAATCTGTGCCCTTCCACACCAGGTGGCAACTGGAGTGTTGAAAGGCCTTGTGCTTTTGGGTTTCTCTGTCTGGGTGGCAAGATGGTATAGAAAAAAGATGGTATTGGAAGAGATCGTCTTTTCCAGTCCAGATAAAAGATCAGAAAATAACCAGGGCTCTCCCTCGCTTGGTACAATAGCTCCTCCTGATGACTCACATTCAGTGTCCTGGGACCCAAAGTGTGGTCGGAGGATTCTAAAATTTTAAAGCTTACTTAAAATTTTAAGTAAATTAGACCTCGATTTAAAAATAAAGAAGCAAAAATAAGGTTAAAGGCACATTGGCCATATTTGTCAGTGGTGTCCCAATAAGGCACCCGTAACAGAAGCTCCCTCCAGAGCACCCAAAGCAAATCTGCTGAATCAGACTTCCTGGGTGTAAGCCCCAGAAATACGTGTTTTGAACAACAGCCCAGGTAACAGTGCTGCTGATTGTTGCTGCTGCTTCGACTCCTCATTCTCCTCAGGCTTGAATTAAGGAAGTAAAGGGACATTTATTTACACCATTCTACACGATTTTATTAGTTTCAGTTTGCTTAAGAGACTACCTATCTTTGCTCCTAGAGTTCTGGACCTCTACAAAACCTTGCTTCTCTAACAAATTTCCTATGGGCTTTGCGACCATTTAAATAAGTTCTAAGATTTTTTTTTTTTTAAGTAAAGGGGAAAACTGAAAGCTAGTGTTGGAGAATTAAAAAGTCATTTGTGATAAAAATGTTCATATTTTTATGAACAAAGCCATTATGTTACTTATAATATAAAAAAATAAAAATCAACTTGTTCTTTTTCAAAGGACCTCTGAGGTACTGGCGTGTTAAATTTTGTAGCTGAAGGTTTTAATTTTCCTCCCCTTTATTATTTCTTTCTGATCGTGCAGTTCTGCCCAAATGCAACAATCACTCTAGGGCTCATGAAATAAACTGCACTGACAAGCAGAGATTTTCTTCAATACCCCTTTCTTTAAAAAGCAAACACTATTAACAATAAATACAACAATTTTTCAGTACACGTGGGATTGGTGGAAAGTGTGTCCCCAACACACTGAAATACCACGAATTAGGATATGGTGAATCTGTGGAGGTCCTAAATTGGGAGGCATTTTCTAAAACGGACCAGAGCCTTGAAAAGGACCTTCCTTTCCCTTCCCAACAGTCTTGACTCCCAAGGTTTTCTCCATTGTCTGGCTTATTGTCAAAGAAGCTGATTTTAAGACTTACAGACTTTTTTTTTTTTCTTTCATTCTAATAAATGATTTCATTGGGATGATTAAACTGAGGGGGGAAATTTCCAGCATGGGGAAAGCTGCATTATAAGGAGAAGACAGTTGGGAGAAATCACTGAAAAACTCCTACCGGCCATTCTCCATGTGGTCTTGCAACCCAGACAGAGGAACAGGGTGTGGCGTGGCCACCTGGAGTGGAAGGCCCCGCAAGGGCCATGAGTCTTGGGATTGCACTTCCCCGAGGCTTTTCTGGGTTTCTCAAAAATACCTAACCCACTCTGACCCCTCCCCTCATGAGAGAAAAAAGGCCTGGCCAGTTTCCAGCCAGGGAAGTGACCTACGAATGAATGTCTCCTGTCACCCGGGCACTTCTGAATCTACAAGGCCCGCTCGGACTCCGCCTGCCCCCACACCCTTCCCCACCCAGTGAAGCCCCCGGTCCTGCTCTACACACAACCCCTGGTTTGCAGTCACTGTTATTCTGATCAAATTTTACCTGTGGAAATAGTTGGGGTGAGGGGCGAGGCCCAGGGGAGGCTATAAAAGTAGAAGGAATGTGTTTGTGGAGTGGGGTGATAATCGGGCCAGCATCTGAGCTCTTACTGGAAAGCCCTACCCCAACTGCAAATTAAATCTCGGGATAGGCATCTTTTCTCGGAATTGGTCCAAGAGGTGGCCTGAGGGGTTGGGG